ATGTATAACGCGTTATAAGTACCTAATGTATATTGTGATATGATTAATTTGGAATTTATTATAGGTACCTATAATAGGTCAATTTTTTTTAATACCATAGATAGGTAAGTATATAATATGCCTTATACCTAGACTGACATACCGTCTCCGTTCAGAATCGTTTTTCTTATACAATGATATTATACCATTGAATTCAAATTTAATTCTATCCATTATACAGTGACCAACTTGTAACCTACTGTACAGCAGAGCCCTTTTTTTTAATTTGCAGTTGTATCACTGATATTACTACTGATGAGTGATGTCATCACTGATGGATTAGTATAGAAATCCATCTTCCGGTGCGTCATCTTTGTAGCCGCGTCACCCATTATCACTGCCCGAAAATGTATATAGGTATGTAGGCATCTGTTTAATATTTACTATTTAATAATAAACCTCCACCTGTTAATCGGGATTCCCCCTATCGTTTTGTATGTTGTACCTACCTGTTATCTTTCGTACCTAGCTTATTTAACTGTTTATTTTCTCTTTTCTTTTAATATTAACTTATGATGCCGTATATATGTGTGTCAACGTTGTTTCAACTTCCTATGTTGACATAACCACGTGTAGTAAAATGAGCGTAAATCCAGAAAACACCGAAAATGTTACTATGTTTAGTACAATAATGTTCGATGCAGTAGATATTATATTATCATAGCTATATTACTATAGATGTCACCCTGGAAAAAAATGAACAAATACAATATAATATTGCGCCAGGTGTATTTCGGTTTGAGTGTACTTACCTCAGTTCATTGACACTTCAGTATCGGTATAATACAGTATATTATCTCCAATATCGTTTTGTGAACAAATCAAACATATAATTGAGATGGGTAATTCCCACGAGCCTACAAATGCCATAGATCCGGTGGTAAATATTACTGTTGCGGAGCCACACTGTTGTTCATGTATTTATTCGATATCTACGTCGGTGATAAGATAACATTTAAATAATTACCGCTTGAATTTAAATATTATAATCATTATTATTATTTATTAATACAAGTAAATAATTCAATTGAGTATTGTAATTTTTATATCCTAAATCTAAATTATTATACTTATAACAAAAAAAAAAAAAAAAAAAATTAAGAATGATAATTCTAACACGTCTTACAAAAAAAAAAATAATAATAATAATCATGTATAGGAATTGTTTAGGAAATGTTTATTTAATTTATATTTTCAAAATTTTTTCAGATGTTTTATTACACAAATTAAGGCAGAATATATTACTAGAAATTGAGCAATCGTTACAGCAGATAACATCACGAGAACAACTACAACAGTTAAATAAAAAACTTGTTGCACCCATCCATGTTTCCATTGCTGCTTCAAAAATTGAAACTGTGCCTTTGAAACAAAAAAATAAGTTGGAAAGGGGTAAAATGAAACCACAAAAGAGAATTTTTGACGTAGGTCTACATTGAATTTTAATTCCAATTTGGTGCAACTAATTTTTTTTTTGTATTACAGGTGCCAAAAAACAAGGCAAATAAAGAAAACTAAAATTTCTTAATTTTAGAATTTTTTGTTCGGATAATGAACTGTAAAAAAAAAGTAGGATTTTGTAGGACGTATTAGATAAAGTTTAATAAATTATTATTATTATTTTTTTTTTTTTGTTATAAGTATAATAATTTAGATTTAGGATATAAAAATTACAATACTCAATTGAATTATTTACTTGTATTAATAAATAATAATAATAATTATAATATTTAAATTCACGCGGTAATTATTTGAATGTTATCTTATCACCGACGTAGATATCGAATAAATACATGAACAACAGTCAGTGGCTCCGCAACAGAAATACTAACCACCGGATCTATGGCATTTGTAGGCTCGTGTAATTCACCTGCGTCTTGCGGTGGATAAAATATACCGTGCTTGATGTAATTCGGTTTAATTGTAATATAACATGAGCAAATTGGTTTAGGTTCATCTCCACCGAGAAAATAAACAAGACATGTAAGCACCATAGATTTTTGACTCGAGTCATTGGATTTGGTTCAGTGCAGGAGCTTAAGAAAAAGTTGGTGTAAAAACCGAACAGTTGCCGCCACGCTCCATATTCCAATTTCATCGTTAAATTTTCCGGGGTCAGGTCATCAGGAATTAAGTCTAAATAAGACTATAGTTAAAACCGCGCAGTGTGTTCTAAAAATTAAAAAATATCCATCCTACGATCAGATAAGTGGTTCTAAAGCCAACCCGTGACAAAAATACTAGCTTTGACACCCTTTTTTTGGGTTGCATTTCCGAAAAATGTCAAATTTAGAGTATTTTAGTACAGGAGGTATTGAATTTCTGTTAAAAATACAAATCAACATAACCAATTAGGTAATTGAAATCAATAGTCAATACCATATTACCATATATAATTGATTTTACTCGAACATTTTAATTTAATATTGTACATTAAGTACATTTCATCATTATTCAAATAAGCCATATTTTATTTTATATCTTAACGACCAGGTAGGCAAACATACTACCTACCTACCTGTGATTGAGAAATATAAAATAATTATGTTTTTGTCAAAGCTTAGGAAATATGTATTCTATATTATCAAGTGAGCCCGCAGGGTAAAATCCCGCAGGATAAAAATTAGATAAAAATTATTTATAATCTAATATTAGTTATAGCAATATGGATATTAAAGAACATGCAGTTGAAAATTCCCAGGGGGGAAATGGCCCCTTTGGCACCCCCCTTTGGCACCCATGTAATTATATATCGAAATTTTTTAGATTTTGAGCGAAGTGAATGAATGTGTACGGCATTTAAAATGATGAGTTTTTTTTTTTGAGAAAACTTAAGAGGTATCTTGTATTAAATTTTCAAATCTTAGATTTAAAAAGAAAAATTGTTATGAATTTCTAACTCAAAATAATTTGCACATTTTCGTGATTTTTTGTATTTTATCAAAATTCAAACTAATGCTTATAAAAAAAAATGTGACTGTATTTTTAATATTTTCAATTACCATTCTAACAATACATTAATAGCTTTGTATTACATTTTTGAACCTCCGCCGTAGTCCGCTTGGCCACTCCGTAACATATTATTTATTATGTCCAATATACGAAGGGCATTTTATATAACTCACGAGAATTGTAGAAAGCGACAAATTGTATACTTTGCACGTAATATTTATATTCACCTGCCCAACTTGCTTAATTTGCCTGCGAAATGATCAAAAAGTAAGTCTTTCAAGGGTGTCCCTACGATTTAAGGTCTAATACTCTATTTACACAATTACACATTCTACCTATTTAATCGTATCCAAGCACTATCTTAATTCTTAAATCGTGTTTATAAGTGGGAGAATAACAGATAATAAAGAGGTGCGTATAAATCACGGATAGAGTCACAATAGGGTTATCTTAGTTTATCTTATTCCGTGGTATAAATGTATTAAACCATTGATTAAATATACAATAATCAATGATTAAACTATTGTACCTAATTTTATTATAAACAGAAATAATATGCAAATAAATATATGTGTAACAAATGCTAAATATTATCAATAGATAGAACCACATTTGTCCATGTACTACAAGCGTTACACTATGGTTCCGGCTACCCGCACTCCTCCCGTCTATCGTTTCCAGTCCTGTTTATCTTAGTCCGTGGTATTGACGTTTGGATTGCTTGGAACCACACACTTATAGTAATCATAAATCTGTTCTTAGAACTCACCGTCTGTGAAATTTGAATACTGAATAGTAAAAATTACGCCTTTTTGGATATTAATTCAATTCGTTGTGTGTAACATTTATTATTTAATATTATTCAATAGTATTGTACTAAGTAAAGAGTCATTCGTATAATATATTTTATTTCTATAGTACATTATTGATTAGTATAGTACCGTCAATCGAGGTGACTTGGAACTTTGAGGTGAAATGAAACACCCCGGTTTTTTTTTAAACATATCAGGTTATCTATGAAACAAAATGATATAATTTAAATCTGCCTGCATTTAAATTAAATTTACAATATTTGTGATAATAAATGTTATTATCAACCATGTGGTTGGTCTTATCATTACCACCGAAAAAAATAACCAAACATTTCTTATGATAACAACGATTTTATCATTGCTCTCAAAAGTGCTTCAAATGTTGGTGATTGAAGTCAAATTTAAAGATTTGTATATTTTTTATACATTAAAGGACACTTCAAAAGCAGACTTTTGTAGTTAAAAGTCCTTAAACATTTTTTTCTAATTTTATAACTTAAGTTTTATTTTACAGAAGAAAATTGAGGGTGACTTGGAACACCAAAAATGCCAAACAAATACGAGCGTATACCGGGTAGCCGGACATATATAAATGACAGTGACGAAACACTTTAACAGGCCCTCCATGATATTTAAAATGTATTTGTGTTTATTTTGAAGAACTATTTAGTTATGTTTTTCTATTTAGAAAGAATTTTTATTTTGTTTTTATCATGTTATTGATATTTTATTATTTAAATATTGAGTTAACCGTTAAAAAAAGGTAAAGTTAACCTGTTTCTTTTTAATATTTATTTAACATGTTCTTGTGTTAATTTTTAAAATAAAAATGTTGTTCCAAGTCACCTCTAACGTTCTTGAATTGAATTTCACATTAAATTTTCATAGCTGTTCCAAGTCACCCAAAAATTCAGGTGACTTGGAACACGTACTTTTTACTTTTTTTTAAGCTCAGTTTTGGTCAAAAAACTAAATTAAAGGTCTTATCCTATTCATGAGACGTATGCAAACATTTATGTATTTTTTGTAGTCCAGTGCGATTTTTTTTAAGCTCAGAATAACAAGAAATATGTCAAAATCGTTCCAAGTCACCTCGATTGACGGTATGCAATATATATTATACATATAATTTTAAGATAGTCATTGAGTATATAATATAATATTATACAATATTATGATATACTGAATGCTAACATAATGTCATCGAAGAATTTAAAACCTATAGGTGGGTTGTGTTGTGCTGTTGCGAATTGCAAACAACATTCTGGCAATGCAATACAATATGGATATAACATATCATTTCACAGGTAAATATTTTTTTGTTACCTATGAAGTTCAATTACATAGCCGATATTAAATAAAACAACTTCAGTAGAATTACAAATGGAAAATTAACATATACATTTTATGTACCCTTAGGTTTCCTGAAGACTTACAACTACAACAAATTTGGGCTCAGAAATGTAAAAGAAATGATGAATGGAATCCCAAAACATCCTGTATTTGTTCTATGCATTTTACTCCACATAGTTTTGCCCATGATCTGAAAGCCGAACTTTATGGTAATTATTTTTTCTTAGTATAACACCTAGGTTTTTGCATGAAAAATAATTACCTAACAAATGAACAATGAAAACGTTACAGGGTATGTTCCTAGTTTTCGTAACTTAAAGGAGAACGCTGTTCCAACATTAAATTTACCAACAGATTCAGAGGTCTCAAAATCGTCCACTAATTGTAAGGGTGGTATAGATGCTAAAACGGCCAAACGGGTAAATAATAATTGAAAAATAATTATAATTTTATAGAACAATCAAAATATTATTGAATTTTGTATTCATATCAGAGCTTTGATTTGAATATCAAAAAAAATTATGTATAGGTAGTGGCGTATTTACAACTTTGGTTGGGAAGGGGGTAAAAAGTTTATTTCATTATATTATTATGTATTATGTATAAATATACTAAAATTATAAAATTATATCAAGCTTTCTGTTCTTCACTTCATCGATCTCAAAATGTATTGATTAATCAAATTATAAAATTTGCATTTTACTAAAGCCCCGAGACTGGTTATTAATACCACCAGCAGAATTAGCAAAAGTAAAGAAATATAAAGAAACAGCAGAATAATAAATTAAGCATTCAAAACTTGAAACATAAAAAAATCCAATAAATGTATTAACATTTAAAATTTTTTTTTTTAATTTATTGAAAAATATTAAAAATATAATTTTTAACAAACACACGAAAATATAGACTTTGAACAAAAATATGAAAATGTGTACATAATACATATCTTGGCTCTACATACCTATCTCACATGCGCCTACTAAATTATGTATTAAAAATTTAATTATTAATTTTAAAATTGTAATTACATTTTTTTTTTTTTAGATTTGTGATGTTCTCAGGAAATCATTTCCATCAAGTGATTCTTCAGCACCTTTATATTTATTACCACAATCAACACCATCCACTTCAATGTGCAACAAAGATACATTTTTACACCTAGACATGTCTTATACTACTGATTATGAAAAGCTATATAAAGATCTTGTCAAGCAATGCCATATTTTAAAAACTGAAAACCAAAAACTACTGGAGAAGACAGAAAAAAAAAATATACGAGAACGCTGGTCCAGAGATGAAGTAGCCAAATCCTTTGATCTAATGTACTACAGTAAGAGAGCATATATGTACGTGAGAGATGAGCTGCATTATCCTCTCCCTGGTAAAAATCATTTTTTATTTCAGTTTATTCGTTATTTCATTATTTAATTTTTTTCAGGACTTTTATCTTTTCAGCGGTGGGCTAAAACAATAGATATGAGAAATGGTCTTATAAGTGATGTAATGAAAATAATGAAACTGAATAGTGATAATATTGAAGACCACGAAAAACTCACCGTGCTCATGTTTGATGAAATAAAAATCTGTAGTACAATGGAATATGATTTACTTCATGATGAAATAGTAGGGCCACATAGCAAGATGCTGGTAGTCATGGCTCAAGGGATTGCATCAAAATGGAAGCAACCAATTTTTGTGGATTTTGATGTAAAAATGTCTAAAGTTATTTTATTTGATATTATTGATAAACTGGAGAAAATAGGTTATAAAGTTATATGTTGTGTTACCAATTGTGGTGATGCAAACGTTAAATTGTGGAATCAATTAGAAATAACATATGAGAACCCTACCTTCTGCATTCCTAACGGACGAAAAATAGTATTTATTCCGGATTCGCATCACTTACTGAATCTTGCACGGAACTGGTTATTAGACACAGGTTTTTGTTTAAATGGAGCAGATATAAACAAAGAACCTTTAGAAGCACTTATAACCAAGATATCATCTGAAGTAAGTCCATGTCATAAATTAAAAAGAGAACATCTGAAATGCGAAGTACCTCTACAGCAAAATATTAAACTAGCCAAACAACTTCTATCATATTCTACAGCTACAGCGCTTCAGCATTACAGTCCAATCGAGGATTTTGAATTATTAAATAATACTGCAGAATTCATAAAGCAAATTAATAACTGGTTTGACTTAGCTAGTGTTTCTCATGCAAACAACAACAGTAGTCCATTTAAATCACCTTATGGAACATTTTTATATCAACAAGACAGACTTTTGAATGAAATGTACAATACTATTATTTTTATGAGATGTATAGGAAAAAACAGTCTACAAATTTTTCAAAAAGGTTTTCTTATGCACATAAATGGAACTAAACAGATTCTACAAATTTTAAAAGAAAATGGCTTGAATTATTTGTTGACTAGTAAAATTAATAAGGATGCTCTACAAAATCTTTTTGATCAGATTTATTCTGGAGGAGACCACCCATCACCGTTGAATGCTCTGTCCAGATTGAGAATGATTTTTTTAGGAAAATATCCAGGCATTGTTTCTAATAAATCAAATACAAACGATAATAACCATGAAGAATTTATAGTTGCTCAGTCATTAAAATTAGCCAACATAAGTTTAGATGATGAAGATGAAGTAGATGATGAACACAGTGAAGGAAGTGACACAGATACGACAAGCGAGGATGAATTTCAAATAAGAAATGAAGATAAAAATAAAAATGAGATGGAAGTTGAAGCAATTGAGTATTTAGCAGGTTGGGTGGCTCTAAAATATAAGTCCACAATTCCTGAAATTGGGTATAAATCAAAAAATTTAACATGTCAGAAATACATAATGCCGTCTTGGATTAACCACTTGTCATATGGTAAATTAATTATTCCAAGTGATGAATTAAAAAAAATTATTTTCCGAGTTGAACGGTTATTTAATAAATTTACAAAATACCAAGTTCCCAAAGGTTCAAATGTGGTTGCTAAATTAACAAACAAAATATTCTCAAGAATGTCAGTTGAAAAAAAATTTAAACCTGTAATTGAAACTTATATCAAACAAAGAATTATTATACGAATGAAATATTCAAACTACCACATTCAGTTATTAAAACAAAAAAAGAAATCCAAAAACTAAACCAGTTAAGAAAAATAATGACTTATTATATTATACTACTAAATTAATTTTATTATTATTACTAGATGTTACTAGGGATATTACCTTTATTACATTATTATTTTAGAACTAGTGGTTTTACAATGATGTTTATTTTTTTTTTTCCTGTATACAAATTTTTACCAGGAGTGCTTCGATTTCAACATATAGTATCTTAGAGAGGTAATTTTTCGATTTTCTCAATAGTTATTTTAATGGCATAGGAAAAACCACCAACAAATTACAAAAACCGCTAAAAACGGTATTTTATTAAAGTGGAATAGTACTCCATTAGAAATATGCAACTTTAATACCTAATTAATATCTCACTATAAAATAATGTTGAAAAAAAAAATTTGAAAATGCATATTAAAGCATTATATAATGATTTTTGAATATTTATGCATATTATAGCTTATTTTTTAAATTTTTAAGAGAATATAATGGGAATATTTGAAGGTTTTTTAGAGAATATTAGCATCATATTTTAGGAATTTTAAGAGAATATAAATCCGGTCTTAAGTTATCACTATAGAAACGAATAAAAAATTATGACAATTTAGTATTTTTTACAATATAAAATATCCAGACTGACTCAGAATTGTTTTTCATGTACAATGATATTATATAATTGAATTCAAATTTAATACAATCCATTATAGTTACAGTGACCTACTTGTAACTTACTGTACAGCAGAGCGACATCCACTTACCCGCTTTTTTATGTATTCTAGATTATTAATTTTTAAGCTATTTATCCATATTTTAGTGTTGTAATTTTTTACATAAACCTACTAAAAATAAAGATTTAAAATATAATAATATGTAATAATTTAAAATTATTAATTTCCAATATTTTCGCTCCACATTATGCACTACATATATTTACATACAAGTTAAAAACACATTTAAAAATTTCTTGATATTTTCCATTTTATTTTGCACTTAATGATTATCTGTACAAATTTAAAAATATTTAAAAGCAATAATTTTTCGTTCATATAGCCGGTAGTATAGTTAATAAAAGTATATTTGTAGAATTAAAGCCACTATAAATTATAATAATAATAATAATAATTATAATTATAATACAAAAAAACTAAATAAATATCATTCAATAAAATATTTGACTTTCAAACTTCAGATGCTCATTACAAACAGAGCAAAATATATGAGCAACTAATGATGATAATTTTGTAATTAATGTCATAATCAATAGATTTTGGTTTACCTGTTGGTGATCACTGTTCATATCATATCGTCATTTTTTTTTTTTTTTTGCATACGGAATTGGCCAGGAAAACAATTTTTCATGAAATGGAGTCCCAAAATGTAAGAAAATATGAACAATTATGTGCTCGATCATACTTGCTTAATAATAGCAGTGGTGTGCAATTTTTTTGGATCCATAACCCCCAATTAATTATTTTCGTTAAGGCGACCCCTTACCAGTATTACATAATTACATGTACAATATTTTTAATCGTACAAATGAAATCATAGTCACTTCGTGTAGTGTTTCGATTACACGATTACGATAAACAAAATAATTTTATGTAATATGTAACTTTTTCATTTTGTGTTAAAATATTGATGACCCCTATTAAAATTTCTTGACCCACTGGATTATCAAAATTAATTTAAAGCTTTTACAAGAATCTAACAATGGTCATATTTCAATAAAACAAAATTTCAATGTGAATTATGACTAATGTGTATGGATTGGAATTTAAATTACTTTTATAATAAAAATAAATGTTTTGTCTACTTAAATAATTATTTTATGATTTTTATGTATATGCCTAATAATATTTTATCATTAGTTTTATATGTTTATTCGCCTTAGGTAATATAAAAATTATTTTCACTATTTTAATTTGATTATTTCAACTTTCAAAAAAATTAAACTTGGACAACTATGTATTTTCATTTTCGGACTACTGTGCAGGTTATAACGAAAACCTTTATCATTTGGTAATTATTCTTATTATACTAAACTGTGATAGTAATAAAAATGTACAAAAAAACAAACAAATATTTATTACTATTATTATAATTACACATTTTAATGTAATTAAGAAACTACATAAATAGTTTAAATGGGGGTAAATAATTAAAAAGAGTACCGCGTTACCAGGCTGGAAGTGAGGGATGTGAATGTGAGATATATAAATGTGGAAGGAAGAAGAGTTAGATGAAAGATAAAAAAGAAGTGGATGGATGAATGGAAAATTATGCGAGAACAATTATTGTTGTCAATTTAAGTAATGTTACAGATCATAGCACTCATAAATGTAGTGTGAAAATTGAAAAAAATATTATTCTGAAGGTCCTAAAATAAATATATATTGTGATAAACGAGTAAGTAATGTTTGAACAACACTAAATTGTACTACAATTTTTAAGTAGACACTTCCATGTCAATAAGTATAGAGTTTAATTTAAGTTTTACACTTTGCAGTATAGTTACCTACAACACTTATTACATACTAAATTAATAAGTTTAATTATTGAGACACTCCAGTATTGCTTGTATGGCAACGGACCGCGGTCATATAATAAATATAATAATTATCATAGATAACTGCAAATTTGGGTAACAATTTTTACATGACTAAGGCAACGTATTGGTGTATTGTCTATTCTTTTTAAGCTCAAATAGTTTAAAATATACTGTTTAATATTTAGTATATTATTTTAAACCATTTTGTGCATATTTAAATCTATAATTACATGATTATTTATTGGTTTTTGCATAAAACAAACTAGTTAACAAAAATATGAGAAATATTAATATTATTATTCTATGATTTATAAATTGGATCTAAAGTAAATGGGAACTGACGTAGGTATTCTTTAAAATTTCAAAATTCATAATAAACAGTGAAAATTAAGAGGACATGATATCTACATGTGTTGTCGCTGTCTTACAATTGCGTAACATAACAAATTGAACGCTCAGCAGAATACTTGGAGATCCATTGATTTAAAAATTAGAGAGAACTGACCTCTTATAAAATCCAAAGGTATAATTATTAACTAGGCAACCTCATGGGCTTGTTATATTTTAATTTTAAAGCGAGTTTATAATATTTAAAGATCTTAATATTTTAAGACATAGAAACAATTTAGAATTTTAAAATACTCACAACTTGCTTTAAAATTTAAATATTATAAAAATCCCAAGAGGTTTCCTAGATAATAATCTTGCCTTGAGATTTTATTAGATGTCAATACACTCTAATTTTAACTAATGGAGCTACACATGTCATGTTCTGCTAAGGGCAAAATTTGCTATGTTACGCACTTGTAAGACGGAGACAATACATGCAGGTATCACGTCCTCTTCCTACATTATATTATAAATTCAGCTCAAATATAAATAAATATAGAAAAACATACTTAATTAATGATTTCCTTAAGAAAGAATTTAATTTAATTGCCTACTTGGAATATCAGGTAATTATATTATATTCTAAAATGAGACACACATTTCTTAGGCATTATATATAACGCAGTTATAATAAACATTTATAAAATGCAAGCATGCATGTTATTCTGATTTGAAGTAGTCTCTTGCAATATTGAGAATGATTTGATGTATTAATTATAAATCTTGATACATTTGTTAAGTCTTAATACTCTTCAGTCTTCACTATTAATAATGTCTTATTTATGACACAAAAAATTATGACTTTGAATGAGTCTGTCATTAACACATGAACCACATAATTAATTAGAAAAGAAATATTCTATAATTTATATAATTTATACATGTAAATTTTTGTCAATTGATTATAAATACACATTACAATAATTAAAATTACATACTTGATTGAGAAAAATGATTATTATTTTTATTATTATGAACAATACCTAATATATTGAATAATAATAATGACTAATTTATATCTAATTCATATTTTATAAACATTAAAATTATTTTTAAAACTATAATTTACATAAATCACACTACATATAAATCAAAATCAAAGATTATCCTATGTTTACCAGTCTTTGGGTAATAATATAATGTTTAAATTGTTTTGCTTTGGTTTTTCAGCAAATAACTTTATTAACACATTTAGGACGAAGACCGTGTTTTTGAAGATTTTTTTAAGATAATATTATCTTAAAAAATAATTGTTTAGTCGTCAACGTGTTAAAATGCTGTAGCTACATTTTTAACTCTGCAACTATATCTAGTATTAAAAAATGATTTGTTAAAAGTTTGGAATTTCAATAGACCTATTTATAATATGTATTTTTAATAAATTCATAATTTGTTCAATGATTCTTCTATTTATGTAATTAATAAAAATCCATTGCAAAATATTATTTTAACCTCATGAATTTAAAATAATTTGATATTCTAATAAAAATTTGATGATATAAACATGTTGTATTTTTCTGATAGATAAAAGGAAATAATTTATTTTATGGTAAACTTATTAAAAATTGTATAATAAATATTATCATAATATAGGTTAAAATATTAAATAAAATTAATTCTCTATCTAAAACATATAGTATAAAGAAATCCTTCCCCTCAACATTTAATACTCATTATAGGAAATAACATTAAGAAAACATTTTGTACTCTATACATTAAAATGAAATTACACTCACAAAAACTTTAAATCAAATTAATTTGAACATAGGAAAATCTAATTTTCAATCAGTTATCTGAATGTATCAAATTTAATTTGAATAAATTAAAATTTGACACTTGGTTGAAAGAAACGAATTAAAATTTTACAAATACTTCCACACCAAATACAAACAATAATGAATAATTATTAATTTTCAATCTAAAATGAATTCTTATCAGAATTTACTGAACGGAATTTTGCAACTAAAACTTTATATCTGAATATTTTTAGAAGGAATATATGTATAAGCATATCACTTAATTTATTGATTAGAAGATTTAATTTAAAGATAAGTTATTATATTTCTACTATAACACTATTTTAATTTTGAAAACATGTGATTGTTAAATATTATACATGGCACGCCTGGTTATGTTATTTATGCTCTTTTATTCTTTTTTGTTTTTTTTTTAGTCTTAACAGGGGACCCTGATTTATAGCAATAAAATTGAGTAACAATTATAAAGTTAGCAATAGATGCAAGAGCAAAACTCCAAATTAAAAGATTATCTCCAGTTTCTTGCACGGATGTGAATACGCGTACAGATGATCCTAAAAATAAAAGAATAGATGTAGCCATTGACAATTGCCCAGTGCTTTTATTTTGGAAATTCACATAGCCTTGAGTCATCTATAGGAAAAAAATATATATATTATAATATCAATTGTTCTTTCATCATACATTTTTTATATATTTACCTTGCCATAAAACATTAAAGGTATACTGATAAACTGTGCATTCCAGAGAAAAGAATTTGGAACAATATCAGATACGAGAAGGAACAATAATGAGCAATAAATAAATGCGAAAGCACTAGCCGCCCTCTTAGATATGTTATAGTAGAAAACTAATATTACAATTAGTAATGTTTGGAATAGTATGAACAATGAATCACCCCATGAGCTGTAAAATAAACAAATAGTCAATACACAATATTTAATTAAACACAACAAACAAATTTGAATTGTTAAAATAATAAATTTAGTTATCACCTGAATGGAAATTGGCTAGAATAGCTATACACAACATTTGATGTGACAGCAAATAGATCCATGCAAACATTTACCAAACTAATTCCAACAGCACTTTTGCTTTGCCATACTTTGATAACTTGTGGAAGTTTGACTGAAAAATAAATAATATTTGTTAATTATTTAATGCAAAGCTTTAGTGACAATATAGTTATATTTTTGTTTACTATAATAGCTATGTGGTTATGTATAAAATGTATACTTATAGTCAGTGCTCGAATTGAGAAAAATTAAGTAGACCACAGACCATACAAAAAATAGTTGGGATACGCAAAAAAAAATTAAAATAGTAGGGGAGCTGTCTTCCTGGGCACCCCCCCCCCCCCAAAATTTGAGCACTGCTTATAGTTCATATGAAATACCTGTATTATTTTTGTACTTAACACATAACCAAATAGGCAATATTAAGTAATACTAATTGATAACGTACAGTTACATAATAAGACATAAATTAAAATGTATAAATAACGATTATTACCTAAAAGAGATCCGCCGACTATACCAAATCCAAGACCTTTACTGAGAGCAGACCTTATACAAGTACCTGAAAAAAAAAAAAATGTATTAATTCTTTAATATAGAAGTGAAATAATAGCATTTTAAAATTATATTGTTAATAAGTTTTTTTAAACTCTTACATTTCCACACAAACGTTAAATACAATATTGTTATTATAGTAATAGTGCGTTAATGTAAGTAAGGAAGATTACTACAATATTATTCTGTAGATTACATTTGAATAGTATTCATTATAGTTGTAAAGTGTAAGTGTCTACACAACAAACCAATGATCATAATTCATCAATAAAATAACTCAAATATAATTGAAAAAAAAAAAGTTCATAATTTGAATTCTTATATACATATAATTGTATTTGACAATTATAACTGATCCTAGTCCCTATATATTCATTTTAAACAATTTATTTATTTTATAGCTATGCATTTTGCTCATTAGCAAGTTCATTAGTTGATTACTAAAATGATCAATTAGGATATGTTTATCAAGATATAAAATATAAATTTTAAATTTTAACTACCTACCTAAGTAGTAGATATAGTAAATAATAACTAGGTAACTAACTAGTACTAACAACATTGTATGCGATTCCAGTTATTTTATCTTAGTTTCTTTCTACTTTCTGATATAACTATATTTAATAGGAAACTATGAAGCTTAAATTCCTTAAATTTAAGATTAAAAGAAACTGTAATATAATCAGTATACAAACATTCTAAAATGGTGATTAGTCAATATATATCTCGATACATATTCGACAAGGCGGTTTAATGAAGTATAAATGTAGAAACCCTGTATAATGTCATGATGACTACCTTGTCTATCTATGCAAATGAACACCACAATAACTGCGCGAGAAACTGACTACGCTCATCGAGCTATTGGATCTTTTGTCCGGTAGATAATCACAAAACAGAACGTTGAATTTGATGAAAACTTTTATTTTGAGTGTGTTTGCAAACGTAAAAAAAAAAATCACAGTTGAGACCCTCGCTGTATGGACAATAAAAATGTAAAAACTTTAACACGCTTACCGTTGAAGAAATCCAAATCGTAGAAAAACACTTGGTAGCATTTGGGCGTGAGGACGAGCAGGGCGATCCGGTGAAAAAGCTCTGCGAACGGGTTCATGTCGATGTGCCGAGAGCTGTAAGGCACTGCAGCGGCGAGACAGGAGACAGGATTCGATGGAGGGACGGTTGGCGAGAGGAAGTGAGCAAAGAACGTAGGGAGAGTGAGATAAATGGAGGTTGGATGCTTTGGCTGCTTGACGGAAAACAACGGTTAACATGGGCCGGCAACCGACGCGGTTACAATATTTACAGCGCGCTAATTTTGAGCGGTACGGGAAGGGGGAGCCCGTTAAAAAACCAAAAAACAGAAAAGGAATAAGGACGACAACGGTAAAAAAGTACAGCACTACAGCGAGCGCCGCCTAATGAATAATGCAAGATGAGTTTAGATGACGCGAGTAAGCGACCGGCAACATCAGCATCACCGCCTACCGTAGCGCGCTATCACTTTCCACTGCATCACGCTCCGCCTTATCGACATTCGACGACGACAACGACGGTACAAAACGAGCTACCGGTGCGCGACGGGTGGAATGTAAAACCCCTTACCAGTTACCACAGCCGTCGAGGCGTCGAGCTGCTACCGTGGATCCACGTACCACCGTAGTACCACGACAGGCCACGACACACAAATGCACAATCGACAAGCACCGAGGCACGTCGCTCCTACACGAATACGACATACACGCGACGCGACAGTAAGACCGATCGGGTTGCGTCACAGTGTCCCACATATTAACAAGGCCTAAAAATGTTGAGTCTCCAAGCGCCGTACAGAGTCAACTACTCTACTACTACTACAGACTACAGTACTACACTACTACTACTACAGCAATACGCAAATACGCGACGTCGCGACCTGGGCGCTGATTGTTCATTGTTGTTATAGATTACACAATACACTGTACAGTAATATTATTTCACACCATGGCCTATACTATATTTTGTATCATTTTACATTTGATATTTATATTAAATTCTGATCGGATCAAACAATGTAGGTACTTATTGATTGTGTATGATGTGTTTTTTTTTTTAAGTCTGGTCACTTTTTACTTTTTAGAACAGTAAAAATGCTTTGATTTTTGACTATGAGGGTTTCTTGAAAGAAATTTGATCTTGTTGACAATTAAAGGATCCAAAATGTAAATAAATCATAGTACATTTAAAATAGTTGGGAAAAACTGGAATTTTTACGAAATTCCTATTTTTGACATAATCAATTTTATTTTTTGGTATAATTCAACAGTTTACTTAAGTACCTAATAACTAGGGCCACACATAGCGGTTGAACCGCCTGATATGCGTTCACACTCACACGGCTCAGCCGCGGAAACTACCGCGGTTGAAAAATCGACCGCAACATGTCGCGGTTGACCCGTGTGCGGTTCGACCGCCCAAATGATCAAAACGTATTGTTTTGAATTAGTCCGTTCACATATAGCCGTGGTTCATTTTTTCAAATATCATATTATGAATTAAAAAATATGAATTCCAATAGTGGGGCCTAAAGTTTCTAGTAACTTCCATAACCCAAAATTACACTGTTTTTTATTTGTAAATAAACTGATGTTTTAAAATATACCTAATTTTAATTTTTTTTGATCAAATCTATTCTACTGAATATGAAAATCTGGTGTCGTTTTTTTTTAACAGCGTATAGAAATAGGTTGGTAAATGGTAGGTAAGGTAAGTAGGTAGGTAATATAATAAAATTTAAAAATGCCTCACATAATACAGATATACTTACTACTTAGATATAATTAATTTTTCATTACGAGCATGTCCACTGTAAATTATGGTACTATTAATTATTAAGTTATATAAATAAATATAATATATGTATTAATATTTAATAGTACATATTTATATTACCTGTGTTACCCGTAGATAAGTATAATTTTGTTGGTTATTTATATTATTTCATTAATTTTAATTAATTTTGGGTCGTCCAAAATCTTATATACCTACCTATAGTTATATAATTGTTATTATTATACTATAAAATATTAGTTATTTCTATTGGTTAAGGATTTATACAAATATTATTTTTACATCATCGTATTTGGTAAATTGGATTGATTATTTTCATTCAACGTCACTTGTTCGTAGTGTATGTCAGGGGCGTCATTTGGGGGTGGGCAGGGTGTGCGACGGCACCACTGATATAATAGAATAAATAATTGGCCTTCCATTAATGTTCCTATGCGCCGATATGATTACTATTAAAAATTAATAAAATATTCTTGGCCCAGTGGCGCTGAAGTCCAACATTTTAACTATGGCATTAGACACCTCCACATAAAATGTTGACACCCACCTATTTATTATAATTACCTTACCATACTCATTACTCAAAGTAAATATATATTTTGGTGCCACTGATTCATGCATGTAATTTAATTTTTTTTTTTTTATCAGCTTTATTATCAAATGTATCCCTATTTGATAACCGTGTGAAGCGAGTCTTATTCTGTGGTTTTATTATGTAAGACAGTTCGTGCCAGCCCGCTGGTATCAGCTATAGTGGAGTAAGCATAGCATAGCTGATAAAATAAATACTAAATACTTTAAACGGCATGGTTATTGTTTAAATATTAATGTTAAAGTTGGCCTGGTTAAATGTTAAAATTGGCCTGCCTAAAATCTTGCACACCCGGAAAAAAAACTGAAATGACGCCCCTGGTGTATGTTTGTGGTTTTAAACAATAGTTTGAAAATGTTCGACACCGAAAAATGTATTATGTTGATCGAAAGTCATCCTTGCCTATGGGATATAGCGAGCAAAGATTACATGGACAAAAATGTAAAAAATACATGTTGGCGTAACGTAACAGAATCCATGTACACTGGAAACTGGTGTGAACTTTCGGACACCCAAAAAGACGAAAATGGTAGTTATTATATTAATATAAGTTTTTTATACACTTAAATATTTAACATAGATGTCCCAAAAATTACTACCATCCTGCGTATTTCATGCGTTCTTGCCATATATAATATTATAATAATGCATATTGTCTTGTTATACTTAACTACAACTTAAATAAAAAAAATATGTATTGACATTTGTTTTATTTTTCTTCGCATGGTACGTATTATAATGATTAATAATATTAAAGTATTTTGGTAATTTAATTAATTATTTAAAATAACAACGAATATTTAGCAGTTAAATTTTTTAGTAATAATTACCTAGCGCGCTTATTTAATCAAAATTGTAAATTATACATAAAAATAAAAATAAAAGTAATAACGAACAACCGAAATTAAAATGAACTGTAAATAAAATTACTAACTCTAGCATACTAGATTAAAGTTTGTGATTTTGAAATGGCAAGGCACCTTCATGCACAAAATATTCCGCATACGCTTCTCGTATTTCAATCCATTGGACTGAGAACCCGTTCCTCTTACTTCGATGTCGTCTAAGTTGCATTCACTTTCCATATCTTCAAAATTATATCCATCTCTTTTTCGGACAAAGTTATGTAAGACACAACATTATTTTACTATATCGTCGATAAATTCGGGACTCATTAAAATGGTAGTAGGTATGTAATACTCGCCATTTGTGGGCAAGTACTCCAAAAGCACATTCTACAATGTGTCTAGCTCTGGACAAACGATAATAAAAAATTCTACGTTCGTCGTTGAGTCCTCGTTGTGGATACGGCCTTAATAGATTTGTGTGAACTGTGAAGGGCAAATGCCTCATCACCAACAAAAACATAAGGCTGTGGTGAACCTTGCGAACTAGGTAAACGTATAGGACTAGGAATATTAAGGGCATTTGAATACAACTTTTTTCCAAAAGAAATTTCCTTAAAAATATTAGAATCTGATTCTTTACCGTAAGATCCTACATCAATGTAAATAAAACTCAAATTGGCATCAACTACTGCCATTCAAATTATTAAAAAATATTTATTGTAGTTAAAAAAGAGTGAGCCTGTGTTTTTTGGATTTTGTATAAGAATATATTTCCCATCTTCAGCACCAAGACAGTTGGGAAAATAGGTTTTTGTATAAAATGTATTTGATATTTCCAACCAATGTTCAGTAGTTGGTTCAGGCATTTCTTTCTTTTGCAACGTGTTCCATATTACCTAGTATAAAAATAATTAAATTACATATAGTTATTACAATTAGGTACACCTATAATAATAATAATTACTATATTTTAATTATGTAAAATATTTACTTTAATAGGCTCATGTTTTATTTATTGTAACATATACTTTGTTTTATATAATTTGTTAAAAAATTAATGTGTACTGCAATCACTGTACTTCTCAAAATATTTGGAATTTGAAATTTGTTCCGTTAATAAAGAATTATTATTATTATTGTATTGTATAATATAAAACAATTTAATATATATAACGTAATAAAATTGCCAGTTTATTCATTGTTGAAATATCTAATTTTATACAAATTTGAACCCGAAATACCATCTATGAAAAATCCAATTTCGAAAAAATGTGCTCTCAAAACGCTCATAACAAATGAATATTATGTGACTTTCTGGTTTAAAATGAAAATGGTGGGCAAGTGAGTGTTGCTCTGCTGTAAGTAGGTTACAATAGTGGGTCTCTGTAATGAAATGTGTTAAATTTGAATTCAATGATATAATATCATTGTATATTAAAAACAATTCAATTTATATCTAATATAAAGATAATATTAATTAATATTCCTCATAAGCTTTTATATCTGAGCGGAGCGATGAATGTATTCATTTTACAATGATGTGTGAATTTTTATTTTTATTTTTGTTGGTGCATCCCGAGGTCAAATTTTAAAATTCCCAATAGTTTTCACAAGCGTCGGGAACAACAACATAAAAATTAAGGAAAAACTGGAATTTTCACGCAAAATCGGTTTTTCATAAAATCGACTTTTGTTTCGTGTAACTTTAAAACAAATGACAGTAGATACATGAAATTTTCACTGGTTGTTTATATTTATATTTCTATACATGATAAAATTCTCAAAATATTTTGATTTGTTTTGAACTGTTTAGGGACATTTTCAGTTTCCCATTTTATTAGTTTTTTTTTCTATCAATGTCAATAAAACTTTAATTATTGAGTAAAAATACTTGAAAATTTAATACAAGATTCCTACTATATTGTTACAATGACATATGAAAAAATTAAAAATCCTTAGTCACAGTTTTTTTTTATAAGCAATTAAAGTTCAAAAATTGACAAAATATGAAAAAAATCACGAAAATTAGCAAATTATTTTAAGTTAAGAATTCTTAAAAATTTTCCTTTTTAAATTTAAGATTTTAAAAAGTAATACAAGATTTCTTATAAGATTATCTACCTTAAACAAAAAAAAATGTCTATAAAAGAATCAAATTAAATTTTTATGAGAGTTTGAAATTCAAATTTTTACAACTTTGAATATTCACTCGATTTATCATGTAACGATTTTCTTATTTTGTTGTAAATCAAAAACGAATAACTTTAGATACATGACAATTTTACTGAATGTTTATTTTATCGATTTTTATATTTGATAAAATTTTCAAAATATTTTGAGCTGTTTACCGGCAAGTTTATATTTCAATTTTTTTTTCTATGAATATCAATAAAGTTATATCTGTTTTGCCAAAAAGTGTAAAAATTTAATCTCCTGATATATTGTTACAATAGCAGTTGAATAATATTAAAAATTAATAGACACAATTTTTTTTATAAGCATTTAAAGATCGAATTTTGACAAAATGTATCAAATTTAAAATTGAATAATTATATATTGTAGTTAAAAATGTATTAAATGTTCAACTTTTATATCTAAGGATTGAAAATTTAAAACAAGATTCCACCTAAGTAGTTTATTCTGTTACCAAAAAATCTGAAAAATACGTAAGCACAGTCTATTTTTATAGTCATTTTTAGTTAAAATTTGGACGAAATTACATATTAAAAACCTAGAATAAATATTTTAGTTATTTTGTTGTGATTGTATAATATTATTCGTGGGTAATTGAAACTTCTAAAGTATACTATTATATATCTATTATAGTATCACGGTTTGTTGTTGATGTATAACAAGTTATAAGTATCTAATGGCTATTGTGATATGATTAATTTAGAATTTATTATAGGAACTTTTTTTTTTTTTTAATACCATAGATAAGTATATAATATGTCTTATATCTAGATTGACATACCGTCTCCGCTCAGAATCGTTTTTCTTATACAATGATATTATATCATTGAATTCAAAATTAAGTACACCCATTATACAATGACCCCCTTGTAACCTACTGTATAGCAGAGTGACTTTTTTCTTTTGAAACCTAGGTCAATTAACATTTAAAAAATTTTTTGAAAAAATAATTCTGACACACCCATAGTAGTTTTACATAACAAGTTATGATATCTCAATAGGATAAAAAAAATAAAAATATAAAAAGCTGTAGAATAAAAAATTGAAAATTATTAAAAATAACTTGGCTGAATGCAAAATTGTATTTAATAAAAAAACTAATTTTAATAAAAAAAGGTTAGTTAAATTATAGAAATAAAATCTTAAAAACCCTTAAGAGGATAAAAAATCAGTTGAATAAAAAATAGATAATTAATAGAAAATTGGAAAATTGACCAATCCGGGGAAAATTAATTTTTATCCTATTAAGTTTTTTAGATTTTAGTTTTTTTCTACTAAGGTTTTTTAATTTGACCAACCTTCTTTTTATTGAAATAACTTTATTTAATACCAATTTTTATTCAACTGCTTTTTTTATCCTTTTCAAATATTTTTTTCTATTAAAATATTTTTTAAATTTAACTAAGCTTCTTTTATTAGTTTTCCATTTTTTATTAAATACCTATCAATTTACTATTCAACTGGTTCTTATCCTATTTAGGTTTTTCAGATGTTTATTTTTTTTGCTACAAGGGTTTTTAATTTTACTAACCTTCTCTTTATTGAAATTACATTTTATTTAATATCAATTTTTATTCAGCTGTTTTTCAGCAGTTATTTGTGGATAATGTTGTAGAGAAGTCTGCAGTCGTGCAAATTAAATACAGGAGTCAATTAAAATTTTAATTATGAAATAGGTTGTGCTGGTGCTGGTCGTTTGTATGCTTATGTGTACTATTATTTCGATTTGTGTATTTTTAAGTATTACTTGTGTTTTTGATCTAATTATCGAATACACAATCTCGAGAGCCCTCCAAACACATGGAGGAATGTATAATAGTGTAATTTTACTATTTTAACATCTGATTTTAATAACTATCGACAGGAGTCGTTTTTATATTTATCGTATTTTATTATTGCATTATTACAATATAAACATTCGAACATGTACATCCGTTTTTAAAAAATAAACCGGCTACATAGGTCATTGGGAAAAAAGTTATCTCACAGTAATTGTTTTTTGTTACCTAGTTTTTCAGAACTATTAGAACTGTTGTAGTATTATAATCGATTTCTCAATTTTTTTTTTATTCCTCTGTTTTTTGATACTAAATCTAAACATTTTGAGTTTAAAATTTATCTGATAACCTTAGGGTTTGAGATACAGTAAAACTCGCTTAAGACGCTCCCGCATAAGACGCCATTTTCCGTCGGTCCTTATAGGTATCATCTATATCCCTATTTCATTCCCACATAAGACGCTTTCCCCCTTAAAACGCCCTAGAAAGCTAGTCCTTTATAAAGAGCGTCTTAAGAGAGTTTTACTGTATATCCGAAAACACCGTAAACGTTGGAACGTAATTTTATTATAGTAGCTCATCTCACTCATAGTTCGGTTCTTAATTTTTTTTATTCACTATTGATTGTGTACCTACTTGTATTAACTATTAAAATACACATCATTTTTAGCCTTTTTCTTGATAAATCTATTCTACATTCATAAGGAATTAGTTTTATAATATGTATCCTTATCTGACCTATTTAGAATGGAATTCAAAATATATTATAACATGAACAAGCTTTAATTAAAGGTCAACTTCGGAATAAGAAAACACGTCGTCGGGTGCATCGAGAAATCCAGTTCGTAAACCTTAGAAGTTTTAAATAGTCAAAAAACGAAAAAAAATAACAATCAACCAAATCGGCGTGGCCTGGCGGTAGCCTGTGAGTATACCTATGCAGTGTTATTCATAGTCAAATTGGACCTGGTTTAACATTGGTTTATTAGTAGTTTAACAATAGTTTATCTTTTTTGTTATTCATAGACGATAAACTTTATTTAGACCATAGACTAAGTTTAACGATAAACCTTTGATTTATAAACTAGGTAAATACTAGGTTTAAAGTTGGTTTATTATAAAAATCTCTGTTATCTTAATAATATGTAATATGTATTATCATTTAATTTAATTCATTCGTGTTTTAAAAACTTGTGCGTTTTATACTTACGAAAAATGGATATCGGTAATGTACAAAATGTTAGACGCGTAAGAAATTTAACAAATGTGCATTTTATTAGACAGCGGAAAATATATAAGATTCGTAAAAATCCTTACATCGAACTTACTAATAATGAATTTCGTAAAAAGTATCGATTTTCAAAAGCAGAATGCTTACAAATCGTAAACGAAATTCGTGACTTTTTACCTCGAGCCGTTAACAATCGCGGAAAACCAATTTCGCCGAGCTTACAATTTTTGATTGCACTTCGTTATTTAGCTAGAGGACAAGTAATTATTGATTATGTTTTAATGTTTATAGTAATAGTTCATTTATGAATTTAAAACAAATTAAAGTACCTATATTATTATAATTTAAGGTTCAGGACGACAATGGAGACTTACATGGTGTTAGTCAACCGACAGTTAGTCGATGTTTGAGTCAAATTTGTAGAGCACTAGCATCATTAAAAAATAATTATATTAAGTTTCCATTGACCAATGAAGAGTTAGCTTCTAAAAAGGCAGATTTTCGTAGAAAATTTAATATGCCTTCGATAATTGGTGCGATAGATTGTACACATATACCGGATATACGGATCAAAAAGGTGGCGGGTGACTACGCTCAATTGTACATTAATAGAAAAGGCTTTTATTCAATAAATGTTCAAGTAAGCCATATAACATCTCCACTATCTTGTTCGATGGGAAATTGAATATTGTTGGTTCATTGGAGAGGTCAAAATTTAAAAGTAATTTTCAAAAGCACCAAAAAAACAAAAAAAAAATTAAGGAAAACCGGGAATTTTTACCCAAGATATGAAAATGTTCACTTATCGTTTATATTAGCATTTTCTATACACCATACAATTTTGATTTGTATTGAACTGTTTACGGACATTTTCAGTTTCAAATTTTTTTAGTTTTTATTTCTATGAATTTCAATAAAATTTTATTTGTTGAGTAAAAAATCTTGAAAAATTAATACAAAGATCCTAATTTATTGTTCCAATGAATAAAAATATTAAAAAGCCATAGTCACAATTTTTTTTTTATAAGCATTTAATGTTCAAATATATTGACAAAATACGCAGAAATAACAAAAATGCAAAAATGCAAAAATTATTTTGAGCTAGAAATTTTTCTTTTTTAAATCAAAGCACCGGGAAATACAACATATAAATTAAAGGAAAACGGAAATTTTTACGCAAAATCGGTTATGGTTTTTGGTGTAACTCTTAAAAAAATAAACGTACCTATACATGCAATATATAATATACATATATTACATGTGTATAAATATGTATAAATGTGCAATTTTCACTGATTGTTTATATTTGAATTTTCCAGGGCTTTGCACCCAAACGTAACGTGAAACCCGAAACCCGAATTAACCCAAATAAATAGCAGAACCCAAAACCCATATATACAAAACCGATTGAAAAAAATTAACATTAAAAAAACACCCGAAATGACCAAAAAACCGAATTATTGAAAATTAAGTGGCATATCAATTTGTATGTATTTTTTGCAACTAAAGCGACTAAGAAGATAGTAGTGTAAGTGTGTAACAGATAACTTAATTTGTTTTTTTGTAACTAACAAAAAAATTAATTAAATATTAAAAACTATCTTGATACTAGATGATTGTTTTATTTTATTTTACAATATTCAACAACAAACAATAGTAATTGTGTTGTCTAGCATTCTTAATCAAAAATAAATATGACGAAAATATGTTTAGTTAAAAATTAAAATATGTAATAAGCTAAACTTTCTTATGTAGAAAAAGGACTTAATAAGTACTAACTAATAAGTAACAAACTAATAACAAATAAGTATCTATTAATATTTAATTTAATATTTTAATTTTTAATTTTTTTCATTATACTAATAGAATAGACTAAATATAAAATCAGATTACTATATCAAATTTACATTGAAAATCTCATGTTGATTAATACACAACATATTTTTTTTTTTAACACCCGAATTAACCATAATTAACCCGAATAAATTTGCATTTAACGGTAACCAGAAAAGTGTATTAACCCGTAACACCCGAATTCAATAACCCAAATTTTCTTTCAACACCCAAAACTCGAAAAAATGATTTCAGTGCAAAGGCCTGGCATTTTCTATATTTTCACGAAAATTAGCAAATTATTTTGAGTTATAAATTCATAAAAAATTGTCTTTTTAAATCTAAGATTTTAAAATGTAATACAAGATTTCTCATAAGTTTGTCTACCTTTATCAAAAAAAAAAATGTGTACAAGAAGTTCAAATTAAATTTTTATGAGCGTTTGAAGTTCATATTTTTACAAGATTGGATACTCACTCGATTGCTCATGTAGAGATTTAATTATTTTGTTGTTTTTCAAAAACGGATGTACATGTTCGAATGTTTATATTGTAATAATGCAATAATAAAATACGATAAATATAAAAACGACTCCTGTCGATAGTTATTAAAATCAGATGTTAAAATAGTAAAATTACACTATTATACCTTCCTCCATGTGTTTGAAGGGCTCTCGAGATTGTGTATTCGATAATTAGATCAAAAACACAAGTAATACTTAAAAATACACAAATCGAAATAATAGTACACATAAGCATACAAACGACCAGCACCAGCACAACCTATTTCATAATTAAAATTTTAATTGACTCCTGTATTTAATTTGCACGACTGCAGACTTCTCTACAACATTATCCACAAATAACTGCTGAAAAACAGCTGAATAAAAATTGATATTAAATAAAATGTAATTTCAATAAAGAGAAGGTTAGTAAAATTAAAAATCCTTGTAGCAAAAAAAATAAACATCTGAAAAACCTAAATAGGATAAGAACCAGTTGAATAGTAAATTGATAGGTATTTAATAAAAAATGGAAAACTAATAAAAGAAGCTTAGTTAAATTTAAAAAATATTTTAATAGAAAAAAATATTTGAAAAGGATAAAAAAAGCAGTTGAATAAAAATTGGTATTAAATAAAGTTATTTCAATAAAAAAAAGGTTGGTCAAATTAAAAAACCTTAGTAGAAAAAAACTAAAATCTAAAAAACTTAATAGGATAAAAATTAATTTTCCCCGGATTGGTCAATTTTCCAATTTTCTATTAATTATCTATTTTTTATTCAACTGATTTTTTATCCTCTTAAGGGTTTTTAAGATTTTATTTCTATAATTTAACTAACCTTTTTTTTATTAAAATTAGTTTTTTTATTAAATACAATTTTTCATTCTTAGACCTTGGTTAAACTCGGGTTTAATAATGTATTATTCATAGTCAACATAGTCAATGGTCTAGGCTAAGTTTTGAAAAACTGTGGATTATCTTTGGTTTATTATAAACAGCTATAGAGCCACCCAAATTTCCATATTATTACTAATTGTTGCCAATCTAAAAAAAAAAATAAGGTAAAAATACATTCTATGTTCTATTATTTACAGTTTTAGTTACAGTTACAGTTACAGTTACAGTTTTTCCAGGTGTTTTTTTTTTTCATGTCATTGTTATCGTTATATTTTATGAATTGTGGTAAAATATTTTTAGATTACCTATATGAATTTATTTTTAGTTTCGTGTTCTATTTTTGAGTTTATTAGTGGTATTTAATTATTTAAAATTATAATTTAAATTGCGTGATTCCATTTTAAAATGGATAAACAAAAAAGGGTTAATTGGGAAAGTGGAGAGAAAGAGCTACTAACTGAAATCGTCACAAAATTTATCAAAGTGATTGAAAATAAAAATTGTGACACAAATACGAATAGGTAAGTCAAAACTAGAAGCGTGGTCACAAATTTATAAAGAATATAATGGTAATTCAAAAACTCAAAGAACATTACTACAAATTAAAGGCGAATGGAAAAGAATGAAAATAGTTGCCAAAAAAAATGTTTCGTCATATAAACAAAATTTAAAACAAACTGGAGGAGGTCCTCCACCAGAATCAATAAACAAATTAGACATGACATTGCAGTCTTTAATGCCAATGGACTTTATTAAAGATGCAAACGATTTTGACTGTGACAATGACGGCTCAACTAAAAAGGTATAGTATTTATAATTTTTATAATAATTGTAATTATGTGTTTTTTGTATTTTTTTTCTGAGCTATTTATAGACATTTTAAATATTTTACTTTAATGTTGTTAAAAAAAAAGTAGTGATCGTAATAATAGTAGTGTTTTTAATAATATTATTGACTTTGTTATTCTTTTTAACTATGATTATTATTTTTTTTCTTATTTAGATTGGCATAAACAAAACTGTAACAAATGATTTCAAAATATTAGAAAAAGAGTCACCTGCATCATCGACAGCGACTTCAAATACCGGTATACAAATATGTGCTGAAAGCTTAGATGAGTTTTTACAAAGAAATGATTTTGAAGATGTAAGCTAATTTTATGTTAATTTAAACTATTTATTTGTTAATAAGTTATATTTAAATTTAAAGCACATAATCATTGATCATGACGTATTGATACACGATGAATACCTTCAAAAAAATAATCAAAGTTGTTCAATGATAAGACCTGATCTTGAGGAAGTAGATGAAAATGAATACAATTATTCACCTACTACAAATAACCAGACCAAAAAAGTAATGTCTTTTACTATCATATAATGCTACCTAATTATGTTATATAAATATATAATAAAGTTGTATTGCTATTAGTAATTTATTTTTTATATGATTTAATTAAATATCACAAAAAATAATATCAAATATTTAATATATTATATATATAATATATAAGTAATACTATATATTATATATTATATTATAATTAATTGTTAAATCAATAGTGACGCACCATAGAACGATATAAATACGTATAAACGTATAAGTACTGAAATCATATGGGGGTACTGTTCTTAGTAAGTACTAAGTAGTAACATACCTTAATATTAGAATTTGTATTTGTATTAGGTACAAAAAAAAAAAAATCAAGGATTTAACGGAAATAATTTAGATATACAAATGACTGAATACGAAGCAAATTTATTAAAAATACAAAAAGAAAAGTTTGAATTAGAAAAAAAGTTTTTGACTTTAGAACATCACCAGCGCTCTCTCATAAACGAAGCAAAATTGAAGTATTATGAATTAAAAACAAAACAGTTGGAGAACTTGAAACAGATTCAAGATTTAAACTGTTCTGATTAAATATAGGTATCAGATTACATTTTTAATTTCTCGTCATCTACTTATATTACGCAACAATTCTGTTATACCTATACATAATACAGGGGCGTCATTTGGGGGTGGGCAGGGTGTGCGACGGCACCACTAACATAATAGAATAAATAATTGGCCCTCCATGAATGCTCCTATGCGTGGATATGATTACTATTAAAAATTAATAAAATATTCTTGGCCCAGTGGCGCTGGAGTCCAACATTTTAACTATGACATTAGACACCTCCACATAAAATGTTGACACCCACCTATTTATTATAATTATGTAAGGCAGTTCATGCCAGCCTGCTGGTATTAGCTGTAATGGAGTAAGCATAGCATAGTTGATAATATATAAGAACCTATAGAAAAATAACTAATAATGTGTTATTTTGTATGAATATTGAAGTGTTTAATTTTTGAATTACATTTATTAAAAATATTTCCTTAAACCGCATTTGCTTTTAATTCTCCAAATAGTAGTAAAATAGCTTATGTTGGCCGCTAGTTGCTAC